GCTGTTTTTTAAAAGTAATTTTCATCTCTTCACCTTCTAATCTTTTCTTTTGGAGAATTCCTTCCATGGGAGATTGGRAAGGAGGAAACCGTGGGAAATTTGAGGGGAGCGGAGTTTCTGCTTTGTTTTTTTTTTTCTTTTTTCCCCAGGAGGGAACGAAGTCAAAACCAAACCAAACAAAACCAGAAAAAGCAAACATTTCTAGCAGCCAATTATTCCTTAATGAGCTTCATCCTCCTGGCCCAGGGGCAGAAGGGACCCTGGCAGGAACCAGAGCTTCATCCCTTCATCCCATCCTTTCCATGTTTGTGGTAATTGCAGCCCATTTTTCACTCCACCTCCTGACACTGTTACACAACATTTATTGGAGGCGCATTTGATGGTAATGAAGTTTCTATTAACTATGATTAAGTTTCATAAAGCACCTGAAGATAATTTAAGATGTGCGGGAGCAGAAAATGAAACATTTGGTTTAGCGCATTAGGGAGRCCTAATTGATTAAATTATCTCATTTGCCAGGAGTGCTTGGCGGGGCTCAAACTTCCCCCGCTCGGACGGGGAGAGGAGACCCCCGGGACCCTCGGGGGTGTTTGGGGCTCCCCATCCCTCCCMCAACCCCAAATCCTTCTCCTCATTTTTGGAGCACGAGGGTCACACTGCGGGACTCGTGTCAGGGATTTTTTCCAGGAACAGGTTGTCCCTCAATTATCYCCGTAATTGGCTCGGATTTGGCGCGGTTGATGAGCCAGGAGGGCGAGTTCCCGTTCCCGAGCTGCGTTCGTGTCCCTGCTTGGATCCCTGTGGGTCTGCAGCTCTGGCACAGCCAAATCAGCCCCATTGCGGATCCTTTTTGGGTAAATCAGGAAATTTGGGGATTTCACTGGGATTGTCCTGAGATTCTCTGTTCATCAGGGACTGCACAGACCAAATGTGAGCCCGTTCTGCAGCCAAAGTCAGCACTGGGGACACCCAGACAGGCCCAGGGCACCCTCAGCACCTCCTGCAGGTCCCTGATCTTGATTTTGGGTCCTGGCAGGGGTGGGGCAGAGCTGCAGATGTGGGGCAGGAGCCCCAAAACTGATCCCCAGGAACAGGAACGGAACAGGAATGGCACAGGAATGGCACAGGAACAGCACAGAAATGGCACAAGAATGGCTCAGGAACAGGAATGACATAGGAATTGCACAGGAATGGCACAGGAATGGGACAGGAACAGGAACAGGAACAGCACGGGAATGGCACAGGAACGGCACAGGAATGGGACAGAAATGGCACAGAAATGGTTCAGGAATGACACAGGAATGGGACAGGAATGGCACTGGAATGGCACAGGAACAAGAATGGCACAGGAACAGCATAGGAACACAGAAATGGCACAGGAATGACACAGGAAAGGGACAGGATTGGCACAGGAACGGCACAGGAATGGCACAGGAATGG